TCAGGTGATGGAGCCCCAGGTAGGAGGGGCCTAGTGGAAGGAAGGTGTCACAGAGGTGTGAGGGGGGAGGGGGACCCAAGCCCTTCTTCCACCTGGCTCTGTCTTTGCTGTCTGGCTGCCATGAAGTGAGCAGCTTCCTCCCTCTGCCACGCACTCCCCACCATGACGTTCTGCCTTGCCACAGCCCCAAAGCGAGGGGGTCAGGGGTGGGAACAGTGAGACTGTGAACCAAAGTCAGGCTCTGTCCTCGTAAGCTGGTTATCTCAGGTGTTTGCTACGGCAATGGAGAGCTACCAGCGTTCCATCGAATGGATACAGCACACACACCTCCACTCAACTAATGCACATCGGAGTTCTTGCTGTATTGGGCTGTGATGCTGCTGCAGATTTGCACACGGTATGAGCAGACAGATGTTTTCAACTCTTTGGGGTAGATTCTGAGGAGGGAAATTGCTGGGCCAGTTTTAACCTTCCTAATAGGTACGAAGTCGTGGCTCATTCTGGTTCTGGTTTACATTCAAACCCTCGTGGTTGGTATGCTGAGCCTCTCTTCTGTGCGTGTTTGCCATTCATATATCATTCCTGGCAAAGTGTCTGGTGTGGGGCTTCTGCCTTTGGTGACTTGCTGGGAGGACTCACAGACCCCAGAGGTAGTTATATGCACGCATGGTCATGGTCACCATGGAGAAAGGACATGCACACAGCAGGTGGAGGCTCCAGGAGGAGTCCAGGGCAGGTTTCCACAGTCCTCGCTCCTGGGGTGGAGTCCCACAGAGCACGGTCTGGCTCTGGCTGTGAAATGCGGCCATCGTGCACAGCCCTGCCCAGGGAAGCCTGCTCGAGACGCAGAGTCTCCTGTCCCTTCATGGGCTGGTGGTGTATATAAGCACCACCCTCAGCCATACGACCAGCCTTGGTTACTGAAATTCCAAACTCCTAGAAGGCATTCACCACAAATGGCATTGTCTGTCCAGTGGTCTAGACAGGTGGTACAGCAGGCTTCAGTGCCCCAGGAAGACGAAGCCGCCTTGCCCGGTGGAAACTAGGCAGCTTCCCAAAAGCCAAGCTCTCGGATGCCAGATGAGCACCAGCTGGACCAGGAGACCCTTCCAGAAAGCAACGTCAGGATGCTGGGCTCACCCTTTCCTGCATGTGTCTAGCCAATGCTTCTGAGAACTTTTTAATTTATTCTTTTTAGATATACATGGCCGTAGAGTGCATTTGGCATATCATACATACATGGAGTATAACTTCCTGTTCTTGTAGGTGTACGTGATGTGGAGTTAAACTGGTGGTCATGTATTCACATGAACACAGGAAAGTTACGTCCAGTTTATTCCCTGTCTTTCCCATTCCTATGCCCCTCCCTGCCTTTCGTCCTCCTTTGTCTAATCCAACAAACTTCTATTCTTCCCTTCCCACCCCCTTATAGAGTATTATCAGAGAGATCATTCAGGTTTTGTATTTTTTGGAATTGGCTTATTTTGCTTGGCATAATAATCTCCAGTTCCATCCATTTACCATCAAATGCTATAATTTCAATCTTCTATATAGCTGAGTAATATTCCATTTATATACAACATTTTCTTTACCCATTCATTTGTTGGAGGGCCCCTAGATTTGTTCCAATAGCTTAATTATTGTGAATTGAGCTGCTATAAATATTGATGTGGCCACGTCACTATAGTACACTGATTTTAAGTCCTTTGGGATATGCCAAGGAGTGGGATAACTGTGTCAAATGATGATTGCATTCCAAGTTTTCTGAGGAATCTCCATAATTGTTTTCCACAGTGGTTGTACAAATTTGCAGTCCCACCAGCAGTGTATGAATGTACCTTTCCCCACATCCTTGACAACACTTATTGTTACTTGTATTCTTGATAATTGCCATTCTGACTGGAGTGAGATGAAATCTCAGTGCAGTTTTAATGTGCATTTCTCTAATTGCTAGTGATGTTGAATATTTTTTCATATATTTGTTGACTGATCGTGTTTCTTCTCTGTAAAGTTTCTGTTCTGTTCCTTTGCCCATTTATCGATTGGGTTTTAAGTTTTTTTGAGTTCTTTATATATCCTGGAGATTAATGCTTCATCTGAGGTGTAGGTGACATGATTTTCTCCCCTTCTGTAGGTTCTCTCTTCATGTTCTTGTTTACTTCGCTGTGAAGAAGCTTTTTAGTTTGATACCATCCCATTTATTGATTCTTGATTTTACTTCTTGCACTTTAGGAGTCTTGTTGAGGAAGTAAATTCCTAAGCTGATGTGATGGAGATTTGGACTACTTTTTCTACTAGTAGGTGCAGGGTCTCTTTTTAAATTGGATCGTTCATCTTATTTTTGTTGTTGTTAGAGCTCTTTACATATTCAGGAGACAATTATTAAACATGCATTTTGCAAATGTTCCCTCCTAGTCTGTCTTTTCGTTGTCTGAAACTTCCAGAAGGAGTTTGAGCAGGGAGGTGATGTGACCAGATTTGCACACAAATCTTATGTGGAGAATGAATTGCAGGGCCAGAAGTGGATTGGGGAACTTCCATTCGGAGGTCACTGCAGCAACAGTAAGAGATGATGGCGGTTGGGCTGGGGGGCCCTGTAGTGAGGGGCTGTGGAAGGCAGTATTCACGGGCTGTGCAAGCACACCACAGACTTCCAACAGGCACAAGGAAAGCCGTGCTCCTCAAACCTGTCCATGGAACGCATCATTAGTGTCCCATTCATTTGTGAGACTTTACTGTATGATAATGGAAAAACGGGAGACCAGATGAAATTGAGGGTCCCTTCTAGTCTATAGTGCCATGGACAATCCTTTTACTTTAATAGTACTAAACTGTTCTGAGGCTCATGTCTAGGCGAATTATTGTAGATTATGTATTAGTCACTTGTGTGTGTAGCTGTAATACCCAGTTTGGGTCTAAGAAAATAACTTCATGACTGAATTGAATTGCAGGGTGCCCTCTGCAAAAAAGAAGAGCAGAAACATCGCTCCTATAGGAAGCAGGAAGATCAGGATAAGAAAATTCATATTCATGTATTAACCCAATTACCAAACGTACCTTGCAAATCCGGAGCACAATCAGTTTAAAATGGGATTTCACATCATCCTGTCCCAAGTGACACAGACAGGATTATAAATGAAAAATTCTTTCTCCAGGCAAGGATACAGCGCTCCTCTCATTTGGGCAGCAAATGCTATCACAGGAGAACCTTTATTTAAGACTGGAAATTCTATTTACCCAGGAGCCAAAACCACTGTTTTTCTGTTCTTGCAAAATAAACAAAACAGTCTGGCAAACTAAATGCAAATAGAACCTGGGGGAATGGGAAGGAATGTGAAATCAGGTGTGCAGGTCAGAGTCAACACAGTACGCCAGGGCCACAGCCGAGATACATATTTTCCCTTCTATTAAAAAAAATAGAGGATACATGAATCAATAAGGCAAAGCAAGATAAGAGAAATTAAGATGCATATATACATGTGTGCATGTATACATAGATATTTTAATAAAGGTTTGTTGTGTTTTTACTTTAGAAAGAGACAATGGAAAGGCTCAGAAATTCATGCCTTACCTGGTGGAAGCCATATTATACAGATGTGGATCAGGGAGATGAGGACTTCTCTAGAAAGCCTGCTGGGTCTGGTGCCTTGAGACTAGGGAGAGACTGGACAGGGAGATGGTAGCAGGCAAGGTACCTGCTCTCAGGTGCACGATAACTGATAACTGATGCTTTCTTGAGGAAGTGATGATGAATCCTGCTCATCATGGTACTTATGTTGCCTTCTCCTGCCTCAGGGCCTTTGTATATGCTGTTCTTCCTGAAAGCCAGTCACCTCCATCACACCCAAGTCTTGGGAACACATCCTCCGTGTCTCAAGTCCATTGTCACTTCCCTGCTGTCTACACTGTCATCAGGCAGATCCATTTCGTGAAGCCCAAACTGTGTATACTTTCAAAGGCCCTTTTCCAGAAAAAGAATAGTAGGTCTATAGTGAGACCCAAGAGTGTTTCTAACCGGCACCTAGGGGGTACAAACACTGGCCCAGACTGCACTTTGAGTAGCAAATTTCTAGGCACTTAGGATATTAGGATGTATCAACAAACAAAACAGAGAACCCCCTGCCCGTGGGGAGTTGTCTATCTTGCTAGAAATGTGCTGAACACCAAAGAAGCATGGATAGGCTAAAAAAGAAACAAAGTCAGAAGTATTCAGAGTCTTAGAAAATGAGAAGGTAGGAGAGAATTTAGAGAATATCCAATCAAACTCCCATTTTAAAGGGAGAGAAACTGAGGCTTCCAGGGGAGAAGGGAGTTAGGCAGGTCACACTATTATGCTGTGGCAGCTTTTGGACAAGACTGTCTGATTCCTCTTCCCCTGAGTTCTGAGGTCTTCAGGGACCTTCTCAAGGGCAGAGTCCAGTAAGGGAGGGAAGTCTGGGGGTCTTAAAAGAGTGTCTTCCCCTCATTTAGTTTAAAATTTAGTTTGAATTTTACCGATATTGATTTTCTAATCTTGATTTCAGGCTACAACACAAATATTGGGGTATCTTAGAGGAAGCATTAGCTTTTCTTGCCTGCCCTTTGTTTTTCTGCACCATTAAATCTGTAACAAAGCTGAGCCAGAGGAGAGCTTTGGAGAAGCAAATTCCGCGTGCAGTCAGTGGTCAGCAGGTGTGGAGTCAACCCCAATCCAATCAGGCCCCCCAAAGCCCTTGCCTGACCTGGGGTGCAATGTCAGATCTGAACACACCAGGGGCCCCTGCTCCCTTTTGAGGCCACCTGAACAGAGGCACCGATCCAGTGCTTTGGATGAGAAAACTGTTTGCATGACCTTGAAAAGCGATTATTTCCTGTGCTCCCTGGACCCAGGACACAAACTTTCAGATTCATGTCATTCCGGTAGGAACAGTAGCAAATTTCTTGGAGTGACTAAAAAGAAGAGCAACAGCCGGCACACCAGGCATTAATAATATAACAAAGGGAGAAAAAAAAGGAGAAACTTTTCATTAGCACTTTTTGATGTCAGTTTATTATTTATCCCTTTGCCAATATTCCAACAGGTAGGCAGTCATAAAACATTCAAAAACACCTAAAACAGGCATCTGTTTTACCTCCGTTCCTTTTTAGAAACAGGGAAACCAGAAGCCCTGGTATTTGGAGGATAGCAGTGTTAAAAATACTCGCTGTATCAAAAATAGTACTTGAGGATCGCGCCTTAGAAAGAGTTTAGTTGAAATTTGACGAAAGGCCCGCAGGCAGGGAGACGACGGTTTGTAAGGCAAGATGCAGAGGAAATCAGCAAATTTCCAAATTTCTGACTCCTCCGTTTAGTATTATTCTGTTTGAAACAAGGACTTTGACAAGGCCCACTGTTCAGTAATTAGCATCCTGTCAAATCCCGCCAATCAAGACCAGCATGCTGCACCTGGTCCTAGTTAAAAAATGCACGTGGGCAATTCTGCTCGGACCCTGGGGCGCACAGAATGGTGTTCAGTGTGCGGAGAGCTAATTACCATGCAGTGGCTGAGAGGGTCTACCTGATCCTCAGGACCCGCCCCATCATTTTAACTTCCTTGATAAGCGTCTGTCCTTGCTGTGGGGGCAGGTTATCTTGTCCTGGAGCAGGAGAGTCAAGACTTAAGGGTAACATCACTGTAGAAATAAAACAAATGAAAAATGCTGACCAAAAGCAAAACCCAAAGCAAAACAAAAACTGCACCGCCCCCCTCCCGGGAGGCGCTGGGCGGAGGAGGGGTGGCTGAGTCCCTCCTAGCTCGTCTTTCCTTGGCTCCTCTGGGTGCCTGTGGCTTGCCAGGAACTGTCCTTGGTGTAGAGACCCTGGTCCCTGATGTAGGCGATGACCGGGTCAGGCAGCAGGTACTTGACGCTCTGCCCTTGGCTCAAGGCCCTCCTGACGTAGGTGGCGCTGATCTCGTTCTGCACGGGCTCCCTGGCCAGGTGAATGTTGTGCTGGTACCTCCGCAGGATGGGCGAGTCCAGGATGTACCCCTTGGGGTCGTGGCCCACCCGGCTCACGCACACCAAGCCAAACTTCTCCACTATTTCCTGGATGTGTGCGTCTTCCCAGAGGTTGGGGGTCTGGAAGGTCCTCAAGACGTCTGCCCCGCAGAGGAGTTTCAGCTGGGGCGCAGCTGTGAAAACAAGGGCGGGTCTCAGAGAGGTACCCAAGGCCGCCTGGAAAGATAAGGAGACATTCTGCCGGGGACTCGCGCCCAGTGCTTTTCTTGGAAGGTATTGAGAACTCAATGTTTCTGTGTTCCGCTCAAGAAAAAGCAAGCAATGGAATCCGAAACTATTTCAGGGCATGTAGTTGTAAGTGATGATTTAATCAATACAGCTTTTGTTTAATTTTGGCAAAATGCCAAATGATACAAACAGGATCCCCCCACCCCCCAGTGCTATAATGGATTTGTCTGTGATTGCAGGATCAGAGGCGGTCATGCTGTCCCCAGAATCCCCCTTTCTGAAGCAGGTAAGGGTTTTAAAGCTCTTGGACAAGTCACTGCCATATTTGGGATCCATGCCTGCCCTCCTGTATTAGGCACTAGGACCTGGTACTTCTACGGAAAACATCATCATGAAGGTGAGGTATAAAGAAAGGCCCTTGAATAACCAAAGAATCTTTAAGATCTTAGTTGGGGCCTTTTTTTTTAAAGAGAGAGAGAGAGAGAGAGAGAGAATTTTAATATTTATTTTTTTTAGTTTTCGGCAGACACAACATCTTTGTTTGTATGTGGGGCTGAGGATCAAACCCGGGCTGCACGCATGCCAGGCGAGCGCGCTACCGCTTGAGCCACATCCCCAGCCCTTAGTTGGGGCCTTGTCATTTCCAGTATGACAAATCTCAGAACTCAGAGTTGGGTAAGTTTTGGGGATTTGTTCTATCATGCTGATTATGGTGAGAAAATAACGCTTAACATTAATTAGGTGGTCAGTACGGCATTATTACTCAACACTGTGTGTGTATAATACCATGTGATCCTCAGAACAATTTTATGAGGTAGGCATTTTGTGCCCATTTTGCAGAAGAAGAGACTGAGGCTCTGAGAGGCAAGTGAGGTCTTCAGCTAGTCCCAGAAGTCAGGAGTCAGGCAGCCAGCCTCCAGGTGGGGCATCTGTAACTGCTAGGCTCTGCCGCCGCCTGCTGGTGGGAATCTGTAGGTGCATCATAACTGGAGCACAGGGGACCAGCAGGGTTTTCCCACCCCCATTCATATTCTTGAAAAGGAAAAGCAAGGTCCATGCTAAAGCTTGTTGCAAGATCTCTGGTCCTTCCAGAAACCGATCTCTGCTTCAGTATATGGTGAAGTCTGGGCTCCTGGAGGGCTGGTATCTTTATCACCATGTTGCCTCAGGAAGGAGGGGCTACACTAGGGGTACAGGGTGGGTTTGGGCTCCTCTGTAGTGGAGCATTTGAAGGAATTTGGACATGGACCAGAGAGGAGGGTTTGCAAAGGAGTACTGGGCTGGCCATGGTTGGGGTGTGAGGGACGAATGGTGTCATGCAGAGGTCTGAGGTCTGGCCTCAGTTGGGCACAGGCTGCTATGGTACCAAGGCCTTCCCTTCTCTGGGCCTTGGTTTCCCCATCCCTGAGACAACAGGCACAGGACTTGTTCAAAGAGCCAGATGTAGTTATGGAAACACTTTCCAGCCCCGCCCCAGCAGCATGCCATTGGTACAATGAATGACATTCAAACCTTCCATCCTTCACGCGAGTGTTAATTCTTGGTGGCTTCACACCAACACTCTAGCGCAGACACCTACGACTCCCATTCCTGCCCTGCCATTCAGAGGCTCATGTGATCTCTTAAAATGAGGCTGTGAGTAGTACTTACTTAGAGGATTATTTGAGAATTGAATAGGTCTATAAGTATAATGCACTTAGAAGAGGGGTTGGCACGGAGTAAGTGCTATTATGTGCTAACTGCCTGTAATTAATTAATTAACTCATCCATGTACCTATTTATCTACCTGTCTACTCACCAAAATATCCATTCAGCACTTATGAATTATCTCCTAAATGCCTGGCCTTTTAAAACTAATAAAGTTGCATGATAAAATTCATTTAGTAACTCACACTTTTCACTACTCTGGGTTGGTCTCATTGCTCACATTGTACATATGGACTTTCACTGTTCTACAGCTAATTTCTTATTATTCAACCACTGATCAGTGTCTGGTTTTTCAAGAGTTGTGTGGGTTCTGTGGCCTTCCTGTGGGTGGGTGCTAAATGATGTCCATTTAATTCCAGGGTCTCCTGGGGCTTGGGGCACATGCCCTCTGTTTCCACAGGTCAGAGAACAAAGAAGACACCCCCTTCTTCTCCCAGTGGTTTATGCGGGGGACGTTTCCTCCTATTCGCTCTGTGTTAGGTCTTGTTTGGTTTATTAACCATGAAAGGAAGGGGTACTATTCACTCTGACCCTTGCCTTGAGAGGACAAGTGCCCACACGTCCCCAGATCCCCATTAAGGCAGGTCTGTGAGGCCGGTGGTGCCTGTTATTCTGGGTGACATCATGCAGTGGATCTGTTCCTATGGTGACATAGGCCTCAGACCCCAATTCTGAGCTGTCTTGCCTTCAGGTCTCGAAAAGGCATCCACGTATCCCTTTCATGTCCCCTTCCATCAGAGCTACGACATTTTCAGACGGGGTGACTGTGTCCAAGTCCAAAGTACCCAACTCCAACGAGCAGTGTAAAGGCTTTCAATGTGGTTTGTTCTAACGGTGACACAGTGACATGAACTGGGCGTCTGTGGGCATTCTGGGGGAAGTGTGTTCTGCCTTTGAGTAGCTACAGGCTTGGCAAAGCAGAGGAAACCAAGATTTATATGGGCACCCTGGGTTTGGATTTTAGATTGGCCGGCCCTCTGGAAAAGCCACCTAGCCAGTCTCTTCAGCTGTGAAATGGGAACATGAGCACAATGACCATGGATGTTATGGAAATGGGAGATGGAGGAATGCAGTGTGAACATCCCACCTGGCACAGCCACTAATGATGATGTCTGTCACAGAACCCCACAGACACTGAGAAGCATGGGACCACTGGGTCCTAAACAGAGATGGCGCCAGGTCTAGGCATCTGAGGGGTGGTACCCATGTTAACCATTCAGTGAAAAGTGTGTGCAGATTGAGCACCTGCTGATTAATGGAAAGGGACCCTCTGAGCATCACTGAGCTGGGCTCTTCCCCGGGAGCCAAGGGCAGGGACCACCTTCACAAAAGATAGACAGCCAAACTCTAAAGGACAGGCCATCATCCACTCCCAAGGGTCTCACCCAAGGAGCTCCTGGACACAGCAACCCACAAGACTCTGGGTGAGTCCAAGGAGGACAGCAAATCACAGAAGTGATGGGCAAAGCCAGGCTGAACTCATCACAGAATTTGCAATCCCAGGGTATAACAACACACAGCAAAAGACAGCGCACAAGATGGTCCCTTAGAAATGTGTCACTCGTAACATACATGCCATGTCAGGGAAAGCCAAACAGAGGCTGAGAAAACTGCACCTTCTGGTTTTCAATCACTAACTTTTCCTTCTGATTACAAACATGAAATATGTGTTCCTCAGGGAACATATGGGAAATGCGTAAGTATGTAAAACAGAAAATAACAACAGCAACAATAAAAATCATTCTGCTTTCAACACAAACCACCAACATATTTGTGTATTTCCTTAAGTTTTTCTGTTGAGTTAGAAGTGCAAACAAATGTGAAAGTATATTCATTTTTTTATAGAGTTGAGGTAAAATCTATGGTATCGTATCCTGATTTTCCCTGCTTTCTTCATAACGGTTTCTCCATATCATTGAAACCTTTTATGCAGATTCTTCATCCTATGTATACAGTATAATTTACTTACACATTCCTTTATATTTCAACAAGGAGGTTGCTTTTATTTTCTGCCATTGTAAAAACTGCTGTGCAAACATCTTTCTGCATACATCTTTGTCCCAATTTCTAATAGTCCCCTTAGCTGGATTCCTCGAAGGAGAAATTGTCAAGCAAAGGACATGAAGATTTTTTTTTAAAGGAACTAATATATTTTGGTAAATTGAAAAGTCCACTTTTCACTCCATGAAAACTTTCTTTTTGCACAGAATAGAACAAGACAAGCAGAATATAGGGTCTTAAAATAGAGAAAGAGTTCAAATAGTACAGGGCCAGGTAGAGCCAGGTGGATCTGGGGAGAACAGGGGGTGTGCTTTGGCAGAGGGAGAGCGTTCACATGAATGACAGCAGCTAGGGTGGTTTCACAGGGAAGGTGGCCTCAGGACTGAGCCTGCAGGACAGGGAGGGTTTCCACCAAGGAGCCAAGAAGGGAAGGGGAAGAGGAACAGTCAGGGAAAGAGAGGAGACAGACTCCGGATGTCTCTGCAGAGCAGGTGCGAGAGGGCTGGGTTTCCACGCCACCCTGGCTGCTCCCCATGTCTCCCTGCAGGCTGTGGGTTCCCTGGGCATGGAGTGCCCCACACCGATGCCGATTCCTGCCTTGTGCCCTAGCCTGCCCTTCTGTCCTGAAATACCTCCGACCTCCAGAGCCTACATGGCCTGTGAGTATGACTTAATCGTCACCTTCCTGACTCAAGCCTGGACTTGCTCCTTCACACCTGTCTCCAACTCAGGGCAGGGGCTGGCACTGGCTGTCCTTGTTCCCAGTCTGAGCCCAGAGTCTGGCCCAGGGAAGTGCCGGGGAGCACATGTAGGAGGCACCAGAACTCCTACTTAGATTCTTACTCCGGTGCAAAGTCCCCCAAACTGGCTGTAAAGTAAACCCCAAGTGCTTATTAAACATCCAGATTCCTGGGCCCCATTCCCATGCAGAAGGCCTGGGAATCAGTGTTTTTGACCAGCCCTCAGGTGATTCTGCTGGGTGGGATCCATTGACCAGCATTCCTCTGTCAGGGCCTGGTGGCATTTCCAAGTCCTTTTGGAAGTGTGCTCCCTTCCTGCTCGGGAGCATTGGGTCTGAGAAACACAAAAAGGCATTGGAAAAGAGTTCCAGGGTTAAAAAGTAGGGATGGCTGAGGACTTTTTCCCTTTCTTGATGAGTCACAATGCACATGGACGTAGTTAAGGTTCTGGAAAGTTCTGCATAGCTAAAACATTTGAGGTGCACCTCTCCTTGGCAGTGTGGAAGTGTGTCCCACCAACCCAAGTTGTAGACCGCATAATAGAAGACTGAGCAGATGGACGGGTGGAATCTCAGCGCAGTGGGGTCAGTGATTCCCTGGCACGTCACATCCTGTCCCCACCCCTGACCCCCACCACCATGCGGGGATCCTGTTTGCTTTCATAAGAAGGTCATGCCTGTGTCCATGGATACCAGGGCTGTGTGTCCCCTGATGTCACAGGCAGCAAGTCTCCATCAACCACCAGGAGGTGACAAGAGGTGAAACGTGGGGTCAGGGTTAGGGGATCATCCAAATTGACTATAAATTCCCTTAAAAATAGGTTTCCTTTTATGAGTAAAGCATTGATAAAAGTGTGAGAAAGTGTTACTCTCTCTGTCCACATTTTAAATGACACAATTTGAATTCAAAAAGGCTAAATAAGGCTTTTAAAAGAATCCCAGCGACACTCACCAGTGTATCCCTGTAATCCATGTCACAAGCACAGGTCACGGGGTAGGAAAACTCCTTTGGGCAGTAAATCCCAAGTTAGCACAATAATTTATGGAGGAGAGGGGTGGCAGGTGGTTGAATCTGAGCTTTTGACCTTGAAAGATTCACCCAACCAGGTGGGCAGCACATTCCTTGTCTGAGCTCAGAGGACTGGCCTCAAGTCCTCTGCAGCTGTGACACTATCAATGCTCACAGGGATCGCTGGCATCCCCCCTCCTGTGGAGAGAGAGTGGGCACCCACCTGTGGGTGCTGAGGGCGCCTGGCCGGGGTCCGAGCCTTCCATTGGGGGCGGAGATCTGAGCAGCTGGCTGTGATGGTGCCTGCAGCATAAACACAGGGGCTCAGGTATGTGGCCCTCCCGTCCCCAGAGCCACCCCAGGGGTCTCAGAATTTAAGTCCTGACCTGTTCCTACCCATCTTTATCTGTTCATCCTATAATATTTGTTGAGGGCACCCTGTGTGTCCCGCACTGTGCCAGGTGCTGGGACAGAAAGCAGATGCCATCTGGGTTGTCCCAGAGAGCCCCCTCCAAGACACCTCACTACTTTCTGTATCACGTGGGTGAAAGCAGCAAGAGAGCCTATTTCCACTCTTCCAACATTTCCTTCAATATTTCCCACTTTAAAAATACAGAGGTCAGTGCTGAATGGAAGTGAAGGACCCGGCTATTAGGGACAGAGCTGAGCACGTGGCTTCATTTGGAAAGCCGAGTGGTAATGCCTGTGTTGTGGGCTTTTGTGAAAGTAAGGAGCTACTCACACCAAGCCCCGGCACATCCTAGCCCCCAGCTAGCTCTCTAGAGACACCCTGCTCTTAGTATAAACCAGTGCTTTAAAATGCAGCAGGGTGATGACTGAGAGCCAGGGCTTGGAGTCAGATGGCCTGAGGGGAGTCCCAGCTCCCCAGAGGCTGTGTGACCCTGGGGCAAGGATTCCGGGTCTTTGTGAATGGTTCTGCAAAGAGGAGGTGATGACAGTGCCCACCTCTGATGGGCAGTCCTGGAGATGAAGAGTTAATGGATGCACTGAGCATTTTGGAGAGGATTAGACTTGCACCCACTGGGCATGCTCAGCATTTTAAGCCATCTGTCTTCCTTAAACCTGGAGGTACCTGCACCTTCTTCTCTTATGGAACACAGGAAATCACCGTACATGCTTTCCTGCATGGACCCAATCTTCCCTCTTCTTATTTTTATGCATTTGCTAGAGCCGCCTGTGGGAGGGGGCGGAGCCTGGTGGAAAAGCACATGCTCTGCAGCCAGAGCGTGTGGGTTCAAGTTCAAGTGCAAGCCAAGTGCTCCGAGAACCTGGATGAGTTACTGACACTTTCTGAGCCTCACTGACCTCATCTGTTAATTGATCATGAAAGTTCACTCGGCCTCATCTGCAGCACATATCATAAGACCACAGAGAAAGTGCCCTACCCTGCAAAAGGCTGGGGAAGTGGCCCCTGCTGATTGGGACCAGGAGGAGGTGTGGTGGAACAGGAAAGCTTAGCCCATGCAGGACCTGCTCAATAGAGTTCACCTGTTGTTATGGTAACACTCCTCAGTCTGTTGTCCCACCAGACTGTGAATAGGGACCTCATTTCATTCACCTTCATATTCTTATTTCCTTAGAAAGTGCCCACTTGCAGTCTCCTGAACTCAGGAGCCAGGGAAGGAGTGGGTACGTGGAGACATCTCACCCTGGCCCAAGGCCCTTCGACTGCTTCAGAGACTCGGCTGAGTCTCCCCAGGGCCTGGCTAGGCTGTTTCCATGGCTGGCTGTCTGTGTGGCTTGGAAAGCTTCCTCTCTGAAGGTGTGCCCCGGCTTGGTCTGTACCCACTCTTCAGACTGAAGTAGGTTTGAGTCCCCCCTCCGCTTTCTGACTGTAGGACTTTGAGAATGTTGCTGAGCCTTCCAGAGCCTCCATCCCCCCATCTGTAAAATGGGGCTGAACCCAACCTCTCAGAGTTGCAGAGCTTACTAGAGACATGTGCGTGATGGAGCCTGGCATGTGCATTAGGCGGGGCCTTAAGGTAGTGACTGGCATCTCGTTTTACTTGTCTCTAAACTCCAAGTTGTCTCTACTTTGAATCTTGGCTCTCTGGATCTTGTTGTTCAAATGATGACCTTCAGTACCAAGTGTGCTTTCCCTGTGGACTTCCTCTCTGTCTCTTGGGCTGGGGGCCACCAGCACTGGGCCTGTGACTTGATGCTGGCAGCAAGCTCCCTGTGTCCCCAGCAGCCCCCTGATCTCCAGGGAAGCCTCTTCAGAGGGTGAGAATGGCAAGAGCAAAGACAGCTACGTCATGCTCCCAGCCGGCAGGTCACTGTCCTTGAAGATGGCCACGGCATGGCTTCAGAGTGGGGCCGACTGGAGTGCCACCTCCTGCTGATTTGTGTGACTGTGACTAACTTAGCCTCTTAGTATTCTCATCTGTGAAATGAGGACAATTTAAGATCATGCTTGGAATGGACAAAGAGGACAGTGGGTGATGGGCCACAGGAGCTGGCACCGTGAGACCCTCCTGCCCACAGCTCCCAGAAAAGGAAAGCTGCTAATGCCCTGAGGACACGAAAGTGGCCGAGATTAAAAAACAAATAAAAATAAATAAATAAAAAATAAACAATCTGGGAAAAAGAAAAATCATCTTCAATAAGTTCCATGGGGAATTGATACCACTGTGAGATTCATCCTGATGTCATTTGCTACTGTGTCACTGTGGTATGGATCCACCGTGGACTCTACCAGAAGGAGACTCAATGGAGCACTGATGGGACCAGTTCCTGCCGTGCTGCCCACACCACCTGACTTGACCATTTTAACCAGATTTTCAACCTTTAAAAGATCTCCAATCATCTCTCCGTGAAAACTGTTATCTACATCATGATTCTCAACCATGGCAGCGCATAAATCATCCGGGACCCTTACCCACACTTAGAGTCCACCCCAGCAAACCCAAACCTCTGGGATGCGGGTGAGCATTTTAAAAAAAGTTTTCCAAGTGATCCCTGCAGCCAGAGCTTTTGACCACTGCCCTTGAGTGGACCTCAGTTTAAATCAGAAGTGAGTTACATGCTCAGTGACCGAGTCTGGGGGACTCAATACTAGCCACACATTAGCATCATCAGGGAATTCTTCAAAATTTCAGTACCCCACCCCCGACCATTGATATCACAGCCACCTATATTTTTCCACGCTCCCCAGGTGGTTCCAATGTGTAGCCAGCGGTAGAATAAAGAATATAATAAAAAAAAAAAAAAGAAAAAGAAAAAGAAAGAAAAATTATAAAGAGTGTGTGCAGTAAAATCGTGGCTCACACCTGCATTTTGCAGCAGAAGCATGAGTGACATTAAATTACTCTGGTCACTGCCTGCATATCCATAAATGACGGACAGGCTCTGAGGAGAAGTCATGTCAGCCTCATGTTGAGGATGCAGAGAGGGGAGCTGGCATTATCCAGCACCTCCCATAAACCAGGTCGTTTGCTGCGTCATCTCAGAATCCTGTGCATTAGGTAGGTGACGTCACCCATTTTATTAGGTGAGGAATGGAGGCTCAGGGAGGAGGTCATGCCACTTACACCGAGTCATTCCACTGGTCAGTTTGGCTTCAAAGCCTGTGCCCTCTGCAACCTGCCTCTCTAGGGTGGCGGGGAAGGCAGATCCCTGCAGGCTAAGTGATTTGTTGCGTCATCTATTGTCTTGCTTCTGTTCCCCTCTGTTAGCCTGGATAAATGAGACCATGACTCATTCTAAAAGGATGATCTAGGTGCAAATTTATTCCTTGTGCAGTTTTCAATATATGAGCCTTTGCTTATCCCAAGGGGTGGTTAAAAAAAAAGGGTGAACACATCTTGACAAGTATTTCCTATTTGCTCTCCTTTTGGTTCAGCAGCAGCTTCTGAAGTGGCACTATAACTGGTGACTTGCTCCTAGCTGTTCTTCCCCAGCAGAAGGTGAAGTCATTGGAACCAGCACATGCAGTCTCCATGTTTACCTTTACTCAAAACGTGAACAGTTTCCTTCCAAGTGCCTCCGCAAATAAGTAAACAACCGAGGCTGAACACATTATGGACAGGGCTGCCAATGAGTTGACTTGTCCCGTGTTCCTCCCATTCCGTGAAAATCCTGGTGCTTCCAAATAGAAGACCCCGCCTGCAGCCTGCAGTCCCTGCCACGAGCTGGCGGTGGTGACCGATGGTGACAGCCAGGGCAGATGAAACTCCCTGTTTCTCCCCCAAACACCCTGGTCCTGGGCTTGGAAGAGCTATGTTACTTATGTTGAACACTAACAGCAATTTCAAAAGATAGACAGGAAAAAAAAATCTTGAGTAACTATTTCTAGATTCACAGTCTTTCTTTTTTTTCTATTCTACATAAAAGTCTAGATTTAGAGAACCTATGATTTGTGCAAGCAAAAGAGCTTATTGTATAGATTCAATTCCCAAGCTAGTCAATGACAAAAATAATCATAATGAAGGTTTTTAGGCTGTTCAAGGTCATGAGAGTTACTTACATTGAAAAAAAAAAAATCCTCATTAGATTCTATTGTCCTCAGTTCACAAGTAAGAAATAGGTCTCAGAGAGGTTAAGTCACTTGATCAGAGTCACACAGAAACTGAGTGATGGCCCAGGGCCTGATGCTACAGCTCTCTGACAGAAGATTAGGTGGGTCTCCCCACAAGTGCCTCCTGATGGACAGTGGCTTGGGGACTTCTCTGAAAAGGTGACTGTCAGTCTCTCTCACTGGAGACACTTCTCAGACCTTGGCTGAAGAGGTCTAGCTGAAGTCCCACTCCGTTCCCCTTCCCTCATGGCACAAGAGCATGACCACCTTTACCTCAGCACCTTCACCGTCTCCATCCACTGTGGCTGCTCACTCTCCCAGGGGTCCACACGAATCCAGTCGGATGTCTGCAGGGCCAGCCGGGCCATGGCCACTCGGTGATGAGAAGCCACCAAGTCCTTTTTCCCGTAGTCATCATTGACGGGTGAGATGATGCCCTGGGTCACCTGGTACATTCCTAGGCAGGAGAGAACTGTGATGCTGCATGTCCAGACACATGCTTGCCACCCTGTGGTGTGAGTCCAGGCAGGTGCTAAGACCTCTGCCTGTCCTGAGTGGGGGCGACCCTGGCATGCTCTCCTTCATGGGCCAACAGCAAGAGCAGGGTATCACCTCCATGATCTTGTGCCTCCCTGACAGTCTTCTACAACCCCCTGCAGTACTTTTATCGAGAGGAAGGCTGCAAGGGCAGAGCCCACAGAGCAATGGGCCCACAGAGCCAGATACCAGAATATGCTGGAAGACTGGGTGCAGGGGTCACACCTGTAATCCCAGAGACTTGTGGGGCTGAGATTGGAGGATCGCAAGTTTGAGGCCAGCCTCGGCAACTTACTGGGGACCTTTCTCAAAATAAATTTAAAAGTTTTAAAAAGTTGGGGAAGGGGGCTGGGGATGTAATTCAGTGGTCAAGTGGCCCTGGTTTCATTCCCCAGTGCAAGAAATACAAATGTTTGAGGAACATCATGAGGTCCTCTGTGGGAGACAATGGATATGTGTAGTTTCTTAGTCCAAATCAGGCACTGAGGCTGCAAGGTGTAAGATGGGATGCAGCATGGAGCAGGGTTGGGGGATAGTTGGGTGGACTGACTTTGGAGGATCCTGCCATCAGTGGAAGGAGAGGTCTGTCTTGGAATAGCCATGGGCTGTGCTCATCTGCCACAGAAACTCCCTGTAGACCCCGTGAACCTGCATGGGATCTTTCTGATGGGAGATAACTTAAATGTATTAAGCCCTTGACACTTGGCCTTTCTTCTGAAGCTGAGTCTACTTGATCTGGACAGTGTTACTTTTAGAGACATTCTCTATTTCTAGCTCAAGAGTCTCTGACATGCAAGAATATTGGATTTTATCATTTTATCCCCCCCGCAACTGTTGAAATGATGGTGCAGTTTTTCTCCTTTGGTCAGTTAATATAGTGGATTGCACTGATTAATTTTCTAGTCTTAAAACTAACATTTGCATTTCTAGATAAACTGACACCGATGGCTTCACGTTGCTAGTTACTTTTGGGAAGGAAGACGGCTCTATAATTCTTCGTCTTATGGTCTGTTATGGTTTGGATGTGAGGTGTCCCGCCCTCCACCCCCGGCAACGCTCCTGGGTTAATGCAGAAGTGTTTGAAGATAAAACGGGTGGACTCTGAGAGCTATAACCTAATCAACCCAACCGAGTTTGGGCTAACTGTCTGGTAAATGTAGGCAGGTGGGATGTGGCCGGAGGACGGTGGGTCAGTGGGGGTGTGCCCTGGAAGGGTGGACCTTCCCTGGGACCCCTTCCCCTTTCTCTCTCTTTGATTCCTGGCTGCCATGTCCTGAGAAGCTTCCCTCTGGTAGGCCTCTTGCCATGGTGTGCTGCCTCATCTTGGTCTTAGAGCAATGGACTCAGTCAATCATGGATTGAACCTCTGAAATAAAAACCAAAATAAACTTTTCCTCCTCTAAATTCTTGTCAAGCATTTTGGTCACAGTGACACAAAGTTCACTAACAGAGAAACTGATACTGGGGGTAGGGGAGTTGTTGGGAAGGAAGATGGGTCTATAATTCTTTTACAATCCCTGACCATGTGGTTCAGAGGCATTTGGAACTGGTTTGTGGAAGGAGTTTGGAAAAGTTTGGGGATGCAGAATAGATAAATCTTAGATTGCTGTAAGCAGAGCTTAATGGGAAATTCTGGTGGGAACTCAGAAGACCAGAATTCCCATAGGAATGTGGACTATGCTCATGAGGATTCAGAGGAAAATGAGGAATCTAGAGAGAACTGGACTAGAGGCTCTTCATGTGACACTCTGGCAAAGAACTTTTCTACATTTCCTATGTCCTGAGACTTTGCCTGATGCTGAATTTTAAAGCAATGGGATAATTAATCTGGTGGAGGAAATTCTAAGGCAGCATAGCATTCAGTCAGTGGCATGAATTTTGCTAGAACCTTTTAGCCAAATTTACTGGGAGAATCAGGAGTGGAAAGCAGAGATGAATAAAAACTTGAAGTTTGACCAAAAGAGTGCATTTAAAATTGAGGACAAGAAAGGTGTGACTGTTGAAGAGATGTTAGCCATGAAAGAGATGCTAAGTACTTCACATAGAGGAAAAGAAGGCTTGAAGGCATCTCAGGAATTTGCATGATGGCACCCATTGCAGGCTTAAGGATGTAGAAGGAAAAATTCCTTTGAGAAGAGATCCTGGTGATGCCCTGCTTGCACAAGGGGTCCTAGGAAATTTTTGTCACTGTGCTCAGCCACCCAGGTACTGAGAAGGTACTGCAGATGGCTAACATGACAGGGGCCACCATGAGCTGGTAGCGGGCCTCAGCATCATCCACGTGCTGCTGGTTCTGCGGGAATGAAGGAAGCTGAAGTTAAGCCACCATGGAGGGTTCCACCAGGAGTTTGAGGAAAGATCTGGGAGTGCCAGGCAAGGTGGAGCAGGGTCAGCATTTGTGCAGGTTGCCCTGAGAGGGTGATAAGTGACCCTGTGAAGCTGGGGACGAAGCTGGAAGGCAGACCCTAGAAATTAAAAGATGCCAGTAACATGGACCATCTGATGAGAAAATCTGCTGGCTGCGGAGAGAACCAGACTAAGGGAGAGACCATAAGCACAGCAACTGGCAAGGCCAGAGCCTTCCCTAAGCTTCCAAAGCCCTTTGGAGAGAACATCTTCCCCCAGGTATCCAAGAGGCTATAGGTAGTGTTAAGGGACCTGTTTGCCTGCAGGTTTTCAGTCTTGTTTGGTCCTACCCCTTCTTTCTAAGCCCCTATTCTTCCCTTTTGGAATGATAATATTTACTCTGTGCCACCGTGTATTGGATATATGTAATTGCTTTTGATCTTTACAGAGGCTCACTGCCAAGAGTCTGCCTTGAGTCTCAGAAGACATTTTGAACTTGGATTTGGGGAGATTCTGCTAAGACTACGGGGTCTCCTGAAAATCAACTAAATGCATTTTTCATTATGTGGTGGACATGAGCTTTTGGGGGCCGGGGGTGGAATGTCATGGTTTGGATATGAGGAGTCCTCCAAAATATCCTGTGTTAATAATACAGGAATGTTCAGAGGTGACATGGTTGGATTGTGAGAGCTGTAAACGAATCCGTCCATCCTTGTCTGAAGGGCTGACCTTGTGGTAACTATAGGCTGGTGGGGCCAGGGCTGGAGGTGGTTGGTCAGTGTGGGGGCTTGCACTGGCAAGGTGCACATTCCCTGTAGTCCCTTCCCTTTCTCTCTTTGTGATTCCCAGCTGCCATGTCCTGAGGCAGCTTCTCCCTGCACACTTTTCCTCCACGATATGCCGCCTCACCTTGGACCCAGAGCAATAAACTCGGCTGACCATAAACTAAACTCTGACACTGTGAACCAACTTAAAACTTTTCCTCCTCTGAGTTGTTCTTGTCAGGTTATTTTGGTGACACCAAGTGACCCAAAGCTGGCTAACCCAATGTCCTGATGAGGTTTTGGTATCAAGGGGAAGCCAGACTCATACAGAGGGTTGAGGAATTTCCTCTTTATACCCCGACAGGGCTCGTGTGGAGGACTGAAGTAACATTTTTTTTTTCTTTGCTGCTTGGTGGAGCTCACCAGTGAAGTCTGATGAGGCTTGGATTTAATTTGTGGGAACATCATTGACAATTGATTCGATTTCTTTAATGGTTAGAAGATGATTCAGATTTTCATTTCTTCATTATGATTTTTGGCAACTTGGATTTTTCTAGGATTTCTGTCCACTACATCTAACATTTGAAATTTATTGGCATAAGTTTCTTCATGCTGTTCTCTTATCTGTTCAGTGTCTGAGCCATCTGTACCGATGGCTTTTCTCATTCCGAAGGCTGCTTGCATCCCTTTCTTTTTCTTTGCACAGTATTACTGGAGGTTTGTTATTTTATTAGTCTTTTGAAAGAACCAACTGTTGGCATATTGATTTTTCTCTCCTGAATGCTTCTTTTCTGTGTTCCACCAAATTCTGTTCTTATTTTTATTAATTCTATCCTTCCACTCTCGTGTTGTTACTTTGCTGTTCTTTTTCTAACTTCTTGTGATATGTGCTCAGCTAATTAATTTGCAGTTTGTTCTATTTCCTAAAATACACAGTTCAGGGTTTAAAAATTTCCCTCTGAGCACATTTCTACTTGCATCTCAGAAGCTTTGATAGAGAGTGTTTTCATGACCGTTTGGTTCAAAATACTTTCTAGTTTTTATTATGATGTCTGATTTGATGTATGAGTTATTTGGAGGAATCATTTTTTCATTACCAAACATATTGTGACATGTGGGTTATAGTTTTGGTATTGATTTCCAATTTAGTTCCACTCATAATCAGAGAACATACTCTAAATCGATTCAATCATTTGCAATGTGTTGACTCTTGCTTTATGTCCCAGTATTTGGTCAGTTTTGGCAAATGCTTCATGTGTGCTTGGAAAGATTTGTATTCTGTGATTGTTTGGTGTAATGATTTGACCATTCAGTTAAGATTACTCATTGTTTTGTTTATATCTATATTCTTACTGATTTTTTTTGGTCCACCTGACCTGCTGTATTTAATCACGTTAGAAAAATCTTTTACTTTAGATTTTTTTCTATTTTTCCCTTTAGTTCTTTCAACTGTTGTTTGATATATATTATATCTATAATTCACCCCATGTCTTATATCTGTATCTTTATGTGAATTGAACTTCTTTATCTCTGGTAAAATTATGGTTTTCTAAAATTCACTTATTTTTTGTGATAATATAGGCTCAACAGCTTTCTTTTGGTGAGTATATTTATGGTGTATTTTTTCCACCTTTCAATTTCAATGTCTATACTTCTGTTTAAGCAAGACTTTGTAAATAGCCCATGAAAACATTTTAATGTCAACTTGGCAATTTTTGACTTTTAACTGAAACACAGGTTTATTTATGTTTAATGTGAATGCTAATATTTGAGTTCAAAGGTACCATCTTATTTTATGTTTTCGTCACCA